AGATAAGATAGAATATGAGAAGGTAGAGATAAGATAGAATACGAGAAGGTAGAGAATAAGGTAGAATACGAGAAGGTAAAGATAAGATAAAATACGAGAAGGTAGAGATAAGATAGAATACGAGAAGGTAGAGATAAGATAGAATATGAGAAGGTAGAGATAAGATAGAATACGAGAAGGTAGAGATACAATAGAATACGAGAAGGTAGAGATACGATAGAATACGAGAAGGTAGAGATAAGATAGAATACGAGAAGGTAGAGATAAGATAGATTACGAGAAGGTAGAGATAAGATAGAATACGAGAAGGTAGAGATACGATAGAATACGAGAAGGTAGAGATATGATAGAATACGAGAAGGTAGAGATAAGATAGAAAATGTAGAGATAAGATAGAATAAGAAAATGTAGAGATAAGATAGAATACGAGAAGGTAAAGATAAGATAGAATACGAGAAGGTAGAGATAAGATAGAATACGAGAAGGTAGAGATAAGATAGAATACGAGAAGGTAGAGATTAGATAGAATATGAGAAGGTAGAGATAAGATAGAATACGAGAAGGTAGAGATATGATAAGATACGATGCTATATTTTAATTACAATTTACAAGGTCATCTGGTGGGTAAAGATTGGTAAGATTCAGGGAATGTTTATTCAAAACAAATTGATGAAACATCATGAAAATCAAAGACAAAAATCGATAAAATTGGTTCCAAAGTTTTAATATAAATGCAATAATTGTCACAAAATACATGAATAACATATTGTACAATAAAATAAGTTTGTAATTTGAAAAAAAATCTAAAATCAACTTAAAAACATCATGGTTAATTACTATGTCTGAGCTCTCATTTTTATGAACAATGTACAAAAAACCATACGTGAATATTTCTGGTCAAATAAAAATGTTAAAACATATCTGTAGAATATATGTTTGTAATTTAAATATGTGTCACACAGCGGGTTGTTAATTTGAGCAAAAATTAAACAGAACAAAAAAGGCTGTTCAAATTTAAAACAGAAAGTAAATGTGGAATGATTAGTCTGACTATTCTATTTCTATTTGAGCATTCAATACTTTCTTGCAATGTATTTAATTCCATATTACACAATTACAATTAAATAACAATAAATTTATTAACATATAATATTATTACAAAAAACTTCACAAAACATTGCACTTAGAAATTTTGTGATATTAGTCAAGTTTTTTTTAACAAAACTTTGATTTGCATCTTTCATCTTTATAACATTACAAAAATAATTCAAGACTCACTTATGAACAGAAATAAATATAAATAAACGATTCGTGTGGGCCTTTGTTGGTGTATAAAATGTCAGCAGTATGCGTTATATTGCAGATTTCAGATGTAATATCACAAAATAAATTCTATATACAGTATATCCATAGACTATTACTATCTGACTGGTTTCATGGTAGTATTCAAAAATAATGGCTTGACATTATCTGGCTTGTATTCCCTGCAAAAAAATTGAGTTCTTATTTGGATTTGGTTCGATTATTTTGACTTCTAAAAAAGGACTTGTATAATACAACTATCCTAGATAATATACTCTTAACATATGAAATGATTATCACCAATTATAAAGAAACACATGGCCAACCTTTAATCATACACTTCTCTCAGAACTTTTTTTTAATAGTTTTTTTGAAGAACAAGAATAAGGGTATTAACTCAAATCAAATATTTTCCAATTTTCAAAATTGCTCATCTATTGGTGATAATCTCATAAATAATAAATCACTTAAATTCATCCAAATCAATTCAGAATTGTGCCTTCTAAAGAATTAACCAGCAAGTGTAGGCGGACATACTGACGACATGGGTGATGTCAATATAAGCTGCACAATTCATATTTAAAACAAAAATTCTAACTTACGAATAAGGTGAGGCAGGAACTCCAATGATTAAAATATGATTTTCTTTTAAAAATAATCTCCACATACTCTGAAATATCAATGGTATAAAATTCTACTGATATCATATCAGAAATACTTTCATTTCTATGTCCTATCATACCTAAGTCTCAGAAACAGGAATTTTTAGCTTAGCTAATCAATAATAGGGTTCACATTCCATTTGAGCCTTCGAATCCATGTGTGTCCAGAATTATCTGCATTTGAGAGTTAAAATGACAACTCGTCTTTTCTAGAAACTCGCCATATAACAGAAAGTGAAATTTCTAGTTTGAGGTATATTTGAAGGGATTACGCATTTTATTCATAAAAAATCAACATCATTCACTGAAATTAACATGTGTTACATACCTTATGGAAACCTCTTACATCTAAATCCCATATATGAAAACACTAAAAGGAAAAGAAAACATTAACTGAACATTTCAAAGGTTTTTTAACTAGATCAAACTGAATGGATCTTTAATTGCAATTTATCTACTATACTAACTGATATCCATATAATTATACTATACTAACTGATATCCATATAATTATACTATACTATACTAACTGATATCCATATAATTATACTATACTAACTGATATCCATATAATTATACTATACTAACTGATATCCATATAATTATACTATACTTACTGATATCCATATAATTATACTATACTAACTGATATCCATATAATTATACTATACTATACTGATATCCATATAATTATATTATACTTACTGATATCCATATAATTATACTATACTAACTGATATCCATATAATTATACTATACTTACTGATATCCATATAATTATACTATACTTACTGATATCCATATAATTATATTATACTTACTGATATCCATATAATTATACTATACTAACTGATATCCATATAATTATACTATACTAACTGATATCCATATAATTGTATCCATTTTCTTATTCTCCAAATTTCTAAATGTGATTGAAAGAAGCAATCTTTCTTTTATATGAAGTATAAATCCCAAATTATTTAATTAAACTGATCAAAAAAGTACATTGTTTAAAATTATTTACACATACCTTAGCTAATATTTTCCAAGTAGTATAGTCTGTAGGGGATTTCATACTGATATATAATAAATAGGTTTTATCCTAGAATAATACAGTATATTATATTATGTATCAGATTCAAATTATGGATAAAATGTTAGATATCACAAAGAACACAGATATGTAGTAGTTCACAAGACCTTAAATATTTTGTACTAAAGGAACTCCTTGACATGCATCATTGCAGACCTTAAACTGTTTTCTTTAACCAACCAGAAATGAATTACAAAATAGAGATTTACGACCTCAAGATTGTATTTTAAACTTAAAATTCAGCTAATGATGACAATTAACACAATATAGTGTGCAATGATGGAAAATTTGCAAGGATCGTCATTGTTATTGCTTTGTAAATGAGAAAGGATCCTTGTCATGTACAGCCTTAAAAGACCAGATCCAGGAATTTCTCATTATTTTAGTGATACAATGTGCCAATAAAGAATTAATAAAAATTAACCTTTGTATTAGGTATAAAGCTGTCATCACATGGATTATGATTTTCTGATAAAACTTCACCAGATTTGATTAATTCATTTATTACACCTTCATATTCCTTCTGTTTCATTCTATAAAATATATTTCATAATCATAAACATTATAATGTAATAGATGGGGAAATTTACTTCATAAAATAAATTGAAGAGAGGATCCACTGCAGACATTCAATATAAAAATAATCAACACATGTTACAGCATAATTTATTTAAAGATTTTAACCATTCAGCTTTATGAAATATATCAATTTCTTTTTTCAGATTATGATAGCTCTACCCTAACCTTTCTTCTTCAACTTGAAATTAAGTTTGGATAGCTCTACCCTAACCTTTCTTCTTCAACTTGAAATTATGTTTGGATAGCTCTACCCTAACCTTTCTTCTTCAACTTGAAATTAAGTTTGGATAGCTCTACCCTAACCTTTCTTCTTCAACTTGAAATTATGTTTGGATAGCTCTACCCTAACCTTTCTTCTTCAACTTGAAATTATGTTTGGATAGCTCTACCCTAACCTTTCTTCTTCAACTTGAAATTAAGTTTGGATAGCTCTACCCTAACCTTTCTTCATCAACTTGAAATTAAGTTTGTATAGCTCTACCCTGACCTATCTTCTTCAACTTAAAATTTAGTTTGGATAGCTCTACCCTGACCTATTTTCTTCAACTTGAAATTAAGTTTGGATAGCTCTACCCTGACCTATATTCTTCATCTTGAAATTAAGTTTGGATTGCTCTACCATGACCTTTCTTCTTCATCTTGAAATTAAGTTTGGATAGCTCTACCCTGACCTTTCTTCTTCAGCTTGAAATTAAGTTTGGATAGCTCTACCATGACCAATATTCTTCAACTTGAAATTAAGTTTGGATAGCTCTACCATGACCAATATTCTTCAACTTGAAATTAAGTTTGGATAGCTCTACCATGACCTATATTCTTCAACTTAAAAGTAAGTTTGTATAGCTCTATCCTGACCTATCTTCTTCTACTTAAAATAAAATTTGGATAGCTCTATTCTGACCTATCTTCTTCAAATTAACATTAGATTTAGATAGCTCTACTTACCTATCTAAATCTTTCAATTTAACATCAGGTTTGGCTACTATGGAATGTTTTTTAAAATAAATTTCTTGAAAATAAGGATTCATATTTAAGCCTTTGGATCCAAAATGGTAAGTTCTGGAAACATCTGGTATTATGCATTCTCTGTCTTTACGTATAAAATTATTCCTCATCCACATATCCCAATCCCATTGCTAAAACAAAGTAATATATTACTAATCTAAAATCTTGATAACAAGGAACATTACCATACATTTTCAACCTTTCAGTCTGACATGTATGTGACATTAATACAAGATTAATATACAAATTACTGCATTGTATATAATATCATATCATATCATATCATATCATATAAACTACTAGTAAAGTCATCCAATTCCTTTAGAGGAATTTTATATCAACACATAGAGTAGTTTCACAATATGTTCAATTAACCTTTTATGTCAAACTCAATAAATAAATGTAACTTAGGATTTTACAAAAGCACAACACTACCTTATCCGGGGTCGGCCATTTTGGTTCTAACTCATCTTTATATAATTTTCTTCTTAGCAACCAACCAAGCCCAGGCATAGTCTCTACTCTATATAATAAACTCTCATTTTTACATGAATGTTCATATCCCTGAAATTAATCAGAAGAAACCTTTCAATCAGTTATTTGCCATCAATTCTTTTCAAGTCAATTCACAAATAATAGTTCGGTTTGGTTTATGACAGGCATAAAAATAATTAGATTAGTCAAGTCAATTAGACAGAAAAAGAAAACAATTATAAGTTTTGGAGCCAGCCTACAGCCCAGTTCTGTAGAAATTGGTGCGAAAGAAAAATACCAGATTTCACAGGAACATCACTGAAATAACATGATTTATTCTTTTAGAGCATCTGAATTATTGCAGCCTTCAAAGTTGAAAAATTAATTGTGCCATCGAGATAAGCAAGGATAGTCTCATATCTGTTTTATTATACACATCGCCATGGTAATCTACACTTACTAAACTGAAATGAAACTAATGAAACATTACTAATATCTGACATAGTAGAACTACTAGTACCTGATCATTCCAAGCTGATATACAATATAAACTACTATCTTCATCTAATAAATGTTTAGTTTGACTAAAATAACTGAAATGACAAAATGACAAGATATTATTTTAACACTAAGAGGCAACACATCATTTGTTCTATATTTTGGTTCAAAATAAAATTAGATTTCAAACAAAAATACTTTTACTCACTTGAAAAAATCAGGTGAAACATCTAAATCTTCCTCTATAACTATAGCATAGTCAGCTTTCTAAATCGTAATTAATAGACAACAGATAATATTTATCTAATATTTATTGATAAGAGATTTGTAAAGTCAATGATTTAACACTGAACAAACCCAAGTTACGCCTGAAATGCTTGGTATATTAAAGTTTATAAGCTTCTCTGGGTGTTTTGCTCAGTTGGTTTGGGGGAAGATGTTCCAGTAATTGTGATAACATTGTATCCTGTAACAACCTTTGATAGCAACTGTTTACATTATTATCCAAATAACATGTTTCATTTGGCATAGTCCAAAATAAAAAATTCAACGTCAATGCAGTAATCAACATCTTAATGAGACATCCCGCTTTTTTTGCTCAAATTTGTGAAAATTTTACACCAAACTCTAGAGAAATGTGATCTTTAATGTAACTGAAAGTTTTAACTTAAAATAAAAATATATTTAAGGTTTTTAAGTTTGTTATGCATTTTGGAAGCTGTTAGAAAACTACTGTATGGATTTGAGTAAAATAAATGAATAATTGTAGAGAAATATATTCAGTACATAATATTCAGTTTGATTAAATAGATACATAGATATTAATAACATATTTTAGAAATATTTTCGGGTATAATTTACGATGTGTTTTAAGGACAACTTTTATTGACAAATTGTGTATGAGCAAATGAATCTTTTCAGTAGTTTAATACTATTTGCCTTCTAGATATAAATAATAATAAACAATACCTACAGGATGTAAATTAAAGGTGGCTGTTAAACTTGTTTTATAATGTTGTGATATTCTTGCATTTTTAATACCCATTGGTGTATGTTGTATACCTTTAATACCCCATAACTTAGTTACTTCTAATGGTTCCTGTAAATAAGAATAAAAACATGTGCAAACAGGGAAATTTGGCCAGGAAAATGGCATAAGCTTAATCATTGATCTTCAACTGTAAATTTGACAGTGTGAAATGTAAAAAAGCTGGTCTATTGTACCATCAATAACAGTACAGAATTATTGACCTTCTTGGATTACGCTGAGGGTTTTTCAACAATCAAATACAGATTAAATAAGAATGAAAATAATTTGTTTACCTCAAAATAACCATCAATAAATACTGTAACTAATTGAGGATTAGCACCCGGTACAGATAGTAAGGTACCTAACATTCTGAAATACAGTAGTCATTACAGGTAATACAGTCCTTATAAAAAATAGCTCAAATTTAAGTTGTTGTCACAGGTTTATTAGGATAGCTTATTTTGCAATGAGAAGTTGATTTCATTGTGTGGGTGTGTATCAATAAGCAAATTAACTGAACAGAAGCAAGAAATGTTACCACATAAAGTTAACAAGTGGTTGCCTAGACTACGACCACTTCCCTGATAAGTTTTCAGTACATCAAGGGCAGTCGCCAATTTGTGTCAAAATGTACCAAAAATCTAATTTGTCCAAGATATTGTTGATTTAACCAAACACAAAATTTTGTAAAATTGGCCTTTACAAGCCAACAAATTTTGATGCGTTAAGGGCAATAACTCAAATACTGTTCATTGTAATATTGTTGAATTCAAACTTGACCGAGATTTCATAGTAATACATGATCAGACCAAATTTCATTAAAATCAGACAAAATCAAGGGCAATAACTCAAAAAACGTTTATCGAAAATGCATAAATTTTGAATCGGATACAAACTGTAGTCTCTAACGTTCACAAACAAATTGCCACACGTTTTTCCTAAATCAAGGGCAATAACTCAAATTCCTTTCATTAAAAAATCGTCAAATTCAAACTTGACTAAAATCTCATTGTAATAGATGATCACACCAAATTTAATTAAAATTAGAAGAAAACTGTAGTTTCTATAGTGTTCACAAACAAATTTTGAGGCGTTTTTAGTACGTCAAGGGTAATAACTTGATTGATAACAAAATTGTTTATCAAAAAGCCGTCAATTTTGAACTTGATCAAGATCTCATCATTATAAATGATCAATCCAAATTTCATCAAATTCAGATAAAAACTGTAGTCTCTATTGTGTTCACAAGCCAATTGTGGACAGACTGACGGACGGACCGACAATATAAGACCAAATTATAATGTCACCTACCTATATAAATAATGGGGACGGTTACTGGCTATCACAGCTATAGGTATATCAGATATCTTATTGTTCTCTAACTGAAAATCATAAAACAAAAAAAGAAATGAATGTACCATGTACCGTAACAATAATTAGTCAATAAGTTTAAGTGTATCATTGTGCTGAAAGCAAAGTCCCAGTTTGTTATCGAAATGTCAATTCTTTTTTTTTTTTTCGATTTTTCCACACCTTTTCAAGCAAAGGCTGCAACAGCTGCAGCAACATTTTTACATTTGTAGACCTTCTGTAGTGGCAACGTTGGTAATGAATATCAATTGGAACATTTTTGCAAAACCGGAAGTGCCACAGATCAACATGTGCAAAAAGTCGAAAATCAGCTCTAGAAGGCGTATTTTTGCATCAATTTTCTTCGGGTTTTCATTTTTAAAATCTTGCTGTAATTTCTGATCAGATAGCACTTGAAAAATTACGAAATTCGAAAATTTGTCGCAAACTTTTTTCGATTGAATTTTGCAATTTTTTTGCAACTTTTTTGTTTTTGCATCGATTGATCTGAAATTTAAAATGCAAAGAGACATCAATAAAGTCGAGTTTTAACGTCACTTCCGGTTTTGAAGGTGGAATCAATTGAAAGTACAATCTACTTCCGGTCGAATAACTTCCGGTGTAAATGAAATAAGTCAACGGAATTTATGCGGGTCGTAAGTAAATGCTAATACAAAAAAACGAAGAATATAAATTCCAGACCAGAAGTGATACTTTGGCCGCCATTTTGATTTCCCTGAAACTCTTCGATTTTTATTCAGCCAATTTGGCTAAACCGAATTTCAACGTTTTGGTGTCAAATGAAAGAACATAAAAATTAAGAGAGATTGCAGGAAGCCGATTTTTTAATTTCGATTTTGCTTTTTTGCAATTTGCCATTGAATTTTTTCAATATTTGATGGCGTATATCTCGTGACCTTGACCTTTGATGATCTTGACCTTTATAGGGTCAAAGGTCATTGACCTTGGCTATTATTTGATACTTTGACCTTTGATCCCCGACATGTACTTCCGGTTTTATAGCTATCCGTAAAAAATTTTGGACTGCTCTAGCACGTGACCTAATTAACCTAGAGGGTTAATTTTTTCGGTTTCCTAATGTGCTTCTCGTGTACTTTACATAGATATAGAACAATTGCTTTTTTAAAGCAAAATTGAAATTCGTGATTTTTTCAAATTTGAGTTTTGTTTTACCATATTTGTGTCTTTTTGATCTTGGTGTATGTATATCTTATGACCTATTTCATGGAGAACCTTGATATTTGGAATACAACTAGACACTTTGAATATGAATTCACCTATGGCAAAAAAATTGGGGTGGGCGTGGCACATCCGGGTTGCATTACTAATTGTTTACATTTTGGGGCTGGGGCATAACTCGCATAGGATACGTTTGTTAAAAAGGGACTTTGCACACAATCACCTCATCCTTTTGGCCAGTTTGTGTTAACAGCTCAGTTGTTTCAGCTTTATAGTTCCAAAAAAGGAACGGGTTTTAACATTTGGATATTTTCATTTTTAGATTTTGACCTTTGTTGACATTTGTTGACCTATATCTTTTGACTTGAATAATATAGAAGCTTGAAATTTGAAACACAACATAACATTTGGAATATCAATTACCCTATGCAAAAAAAATTAAGGTGGGCGTGGCACATCCAGGTTATATTACTCATTATTGATATTTTTGGCCAGGAGCATAACTCGATATAACAGTGATATATAATGCAAAATTGAAATTTCTGAATTTTTGAAATTTCGGTGTTTTTTTACAATATGTTAGCTTCTTTGAGCTAGTTCTATGTATTTCTTATGACCTATTTGCTGTAAAAGCTTGGAATTTGGAACACAACGAGACATATTAAATATGAATTGACGTATGACAAAAAAGTTGAGGTGGGCGTGGCACATTAAGCTTAAATTACTTATTATTTACATTTTATCAGGGGTATAACTTGTATAACATACATTTGTTCAAAGCAGGACCTTGCACACAATTACCTCACCCCTTTGGCCATTTTGTGTGAAAAGGTCAGTTGTTTCCGCTTCGTAGTTCAAAAAAAGGAACAGGGTTTAAATTTTGCATATTTTCAACTTTTGACCTTTACCATTGATGACCTTGACCTTTGTAGGATCGAAGGTCATTGACCTTGGCTAAGATATATTCCTTCATATTTGATGTTCATCGTCAACTTCCAGTTTTTTGTATTTTCAAAGTTTGATGACTCATATCTAGTGACGTTGACCTTAAATGACCTTCGATCCTACTAAGGTTTAACATGGTCAAAGGTCATTGACCTTGGAAATCTAATCATACTTTCATATTTTATGTCTGGCTTCAACCTCCGCTTTAACAACCTTCCAAAAAAGAGAAATTTTCAAAAATTTTAACTGCACGTGACCTAATTGGCTAAGAACGTTGATTTTTTCAGATTCTCTAGCAAATTGGCACAAGAGCAAAGTCCCACTCAGTACCACGAGTGGTTCTAGTTTAAATTTATTTTAAAAAGAGTGGGATATTCAGTACAAGCCTGACATATGTATCAACAAGATAAGTTGTCAATGATGAGGGCAATATACTCAGATATGTGGAGTTTCATTTTGATTCATTGATGTCAATTTTAATGACTTTGGCCATTGTATTGATAGTGATTTTTGGTTGTTACTCAAGCATAATTGAGTTCTAAAACTTAATGATATATTTAATAATTGTTCAGACACTACCTTTTGAGGTGAAAATGATATAGGTGAAGGATCTGTACAACTACAAACATTACCATAACCTTCTACTTTACTACAGAATACTTCTCTTCTTCTATTACTTTCATTATCAGGCCAATTACATCTTGATTCTGAAATATATCATTATCTTATATTACTTCACAGATAATCTATGGTCTAACAGCTAAAACAATAGCTCTGACTAGCAACATAGTGTACATTGGTTGTTTTCTGATTGGAGCTGTCCTGCCAGTCATGTTAAAAAAAAACAATCCTGATGTAAACTTACCTGATTTTGGAGAAAGCTTAATGTGGACAGTTAAAACAGATTTTTCACCCCAACTGGACAAACTAGGTGATTTATTATGAGCTTCACCAATCTTCTTACCACCCTTAATGGCTACAAATGCCCAAGTATCTCTCCAGTTTATATTAGTAATATATTCACTTCCCATGCTGGCTAAATATTGTCGAGCTGTTGATTTTAACTGGAATGTACCTTCATCCTAAAATATACCACCTGATTGTAAAAAATGATAATTCTAAAAACGACCAACAAATCATATCCTTACCAAATATATTACAGAGAAATTCAACGATCAGCTATAAACCGCCAAATGGCATGTGTAACAAATTGCGCGAAAGTTGAAACCTAGCATTTGTCACCAGATTCTTGTATTCATCTGGGAAAGGAGGGTAGTGACAAGAATGTAGTTCTCAAGTTGTTAAGAAAATGAAACTTGCTAATAAGACTGAAAGACATTTGTATCATTGAGAAAATATTCAATGTTGTTAAAAGACACCACCATGCACCATGAAACAAAATATATGATAAATAATGTATACCTTGATAGTAAATATAATAATTCTACCATCACTAATCATCTTTAAAAACAGTACCATAGCCTCATCTTCATGTTGATTATAGGTATCAAATATTCTTTTGGCCATGACACTACCCTACAAGTAAATTACTTATTTCAACTAGTACTGTACATGTAATTTAAGTGATTGTATTCAGATGAAGATAGTTTGACAGGCAAGATAATATACTCTGACAGCTTTATTCAAATTAGACAACCAAAAGGTTATGTTTCTAGAACTGAAGCTTCAAAACTTCAAAAGAACCAGGTCTGAAACTTGCAAAAGCTATTCATTCTTGAAAGACAATAAACTTATTTCACTAAAATTCTTCAAGAATTTTGTCTTCATGAGTTTTAGAACTAAACCAATTTTTGAGAAAAAGAACAATAACTTATAAAACAAAATAAGATTGTACTGATACTGATGTGTATTAATGTTTAAGCAGTGTTAACATAAAACACAACAAAAAGCCTTAAGATAGACTATAGGGCTACATTATGTTTTTACTTACTGTAGCTTGATTTAACACTACCACATGCACTCCTCTATTAGTATCAAACCCTTCATCTTCTAATACCTATTTAAACATAGAAATGACAATTTGACACTTTTCTATCAGTTATTATGTATATGAATGTACGTATGTTGAAAGCAAATATTTGGTATTGACATGTTTTCTGTATATAGTAATTGAAAATGTAATACTATATGAACAAGTGGTTGACAAAAAGGCACCCACAGACATCTCACCAATATACATACATGCACATCAAAGTGTATAAAAATAAACTTACAGCAGTTCCATCCACAGTAATAGAAACTAATTCTTTACTTGATATAACTTCTATTGTAGCCTTCAAACTTTTCATTTTATTATGTTGTTCCAATTCCTGAGATAACCCATCTTTAAACTTCTGATAGTTGTTTTCTACAACCAAAATAATATTTTGTGAAAAAAGCAGAATGGAACAACAGAATATTTATACTTGTATTCCTATACAGGCCTAAAACATATACCAAAATCCATTATATCTTCATTATAACTAAGATTTTGCTACTATATTCTGGATATGTTTTGGTATCCAATAATTTATGGTTGTTTGATGTAAAGACCTTAGTCATGTCATTTTTACTGACTAATAAAATGGAAAGAAGTCCGAGGTCAATCAATCTGCCATGCATACCTTCAACTGACTAAGCACAGATTTATCTATTGCAGACAACCTTTAAATCATATTTGCATTCTGAAATGTTTTCACTGGATAAAAAAAAAGTTTTTTTTAAGTTAGTTCAAATTGGACAGGTGTTTTGTAATAGTTGAATATTTCTAGATGGTTTATAATGGAGCGTCTATATGAAACTGACCTGTGATCTGTGGGTCTGGTTGTAATTTTTTACTGGTATCTAATAAAAATGTAATATTAATTACAACTGTTACTATCAATACCAGTATCAGTCCACCCTAAAATAGATAATTAATTAACATAGAGACACAGTTCTGAGATATTCTCTATTTCATATCTAAGGCCAATTAGACAGTATCTTATTACCATTATAAAATGTTGACTTGTTTTCTATCTCAAATGTCTTCTGTAAAGTGAGATTTACATGTATGTCCTAAATGTCCTTCTAAAAAAACATGCTAGATACTTAACCATGGATGCTTTAAGCTTTTGCTTAGGAGCCAAATTTCATTTAGATGTCTTAAGTAGATACTTAATTTTTTTTCGTGAGTGATGTTGTAATAAACATAACACATAGTGTAACATGTGAATTGTCTGATAAATCATACTTTCCAATGCCAAGATAGCTCTTTTCTGTACAGAACCAAGATTTGATTTGCAGTAACATCTTTACTACTGATTCAGATCTTATCCCTTTAACACAACACAATACACATAAATGAATGGAGACTAATTCATTTATTTCATGTAGCTCAAATAGTTGTATGACAATCAGTAAAGGTTTAATAACAAAAAGTTAAGAAATACCTGAAATATTTTGGAGATACATCTTCTACTGCTATACTCTCTCAATTTACTACCAGCTGTTCCATACAATTTACGTTTGGGAATATATGGTCGAGCTCTGGGGTTGGGAACCCAGTTATCCATTGTTTATATATTCTATGACACTGAAAGCATCAAATAATCTCAAGAGATGATGTATTTCAACCTCTTCTCATGCAAAAATGTGCAATCTTTGATTGAATGTCCCCAATTAATAGTTAGGTTGACTAATATAATTAAAAATGATGAGCTATTCACCTTTATCAACTAATCCTGTCCTTGGATTGTTTTCTGTTTTTACAAAAACAAAATCTAATTCTAGCATTGACTATGTTTTCCTTGAAATGTTGACAGTACAGACAATATTATCAAGATAAGAAGACAATAAACAATATGGATACAATATACTAAAGGGCTGAGATTAATAATGAAAGGAAATACTCATAAAATCAATAACACACACCAACCTCTTCTTCATTCATTAAAACTATGTCACTTAAACATTGTTGAAAAAAATTCCAGTATCAGTTTGATGGAGCAAATTTTGATAAAGTCAGCATTATCATATTGATACATATCCAGTATTGTCATAACAACTTCATCAACAACATTCAAATCAATCTTTCAAAAATCATGCCAACATGTAAATATCAATATTGTTTATCAAAAAATCAGTACTTAAAAATAACTATTGATCTGTGAATAGAGGTGGGTAATATTAGTTCAAATGGATATCATCATATTTATCTTCAACATATTTCTTATTTGATCAGGTATTCACTAAAGCAATGAATGATGGACCCACTGCAATTACGGTGATATGAATACATTGAGCAAGGTGCCCAACTGAATGAGCTGCCAAAGGCATTCATGATATATGTGGCACCTTGACCAATGTATTCCATTGCTCATATTTCCACTGTCTTAATTTATTTTTATTGTTTTCCATTGCCAGTTGAAAATTAACAGTAGCCATTGTGCTCTTTTTAGGCTTACGCTAAAATAGTTCCAACATTTAACTTTAATTTGGAGGACAACAATTTTTAAAAGATAAGTTTTCATTCTTTTATCGTTTTTTGGGGAAATGGTTATAATCTACTAAATAATCTACTTTAAATGTCGAAGCAACTCAAGTATACAGCCCAGATCTATCTGTGAATCTAAGACAGTGCTTTCATTGAGACTTGTCTCAACATAACATTGTTTGAAGAGATTATATCTACAGACAATTTATGATTGAATTACATAATCTTTGCAAAATATGGTAAGGTCTTACCTGTGTTGATCATAGTAAAAATAAGTTATTATGTCATTATTCTTTTCCCACAGAAAAACATTCAACTAGTGGTCTGAAACCAGAAAAACCTGTATAAACATAATCTACAATAATCAATCATTGATGGTCTACACAATTTACAGAACAAGTTTCCTCACACAAGAATAGAAAACAGATTATTTTTGGTCAATTGACTGTCACTAGTCATCCTTGTCATTCTAAGAAACATCACCAATTTTTTTTAGTCATTCATTAAATCTAAACATCGTACAAATAATTACATGTTTAACATAAAATATCTTCAGATTCATAATTTGTAAGACAATAACAAACTATAAAAATATTTCCTGTTTCCACGAGAATACTGTCATAAAAGTGAACTTAAATCATTAAAGATGGGTTTCCATATCTGACTATGTATTAAATGGATTCAATTTTAGCTCTATGTATGCTGCCTACTGACTTAGTCTAATATTTATAATGCTTATATCTATTCTTGATGAAGTTCACAATAAAACTATGTATAAGACTATTGTATAAGGGGTGTTAAAGAATATAATCACATAAAAGCTTTATTAAGCTTAAAATATTATAGAACAATCGACTAATTATTTACAGGTAAACAATAGCCTAAGTACAAATACTTAAAAGGTATTGTAAAGAGGTTTTCTACGAATCTTGATGTGTATCAGGGACACCAATTTTCAGTAAGAAGTCGGTGGTTCCCGAAATTATACAAATGGTAGGCCTAAATGTTTGATGACGTCACTAATCACAAAATATGTTTGAATCACCTAAGGCCCTTTGCGATTAGTGACATCATCATGCTCATAAAACACTTATTTCAGTGGGATTGCAGGAACCACAGACAAACGATGGAAAATTCAAATGGTGCAAATTGATGCTATGATCAGTGTCACTAATACACATAAAAAATTGAGAAAACCTCTTAACAACCCTATTATTAGTACAAATAGAAATATGGGAACCCAACTTTAAAGTTGACAATAAGAGTAGATTAAATTTGAAACCAATTATTTCTATATCTTGACTGTATTTAATTACAGTCAAGTAACCTAATTTTAGTGGAAACCTATTATTCCTGGATTTCCGGAAATGTTTAATAATTTACATGTGCGACCTTGCGCGACCTCCGCATTAGCTTGTTTTGATAAACATGGGTTTTCTCTACAATATCAGCTAGTAGAATGAATCCAGTAGTTTCAAGCAAGGTAAAATGTATTAATGTATACTTTGACAAATACAAAATGGCGGATTTCACTTATTACCAAACGTCACCATTTTTTATCGGCCGAATTTCCTTATATTCCCAAGCGGTAATCGGAATTCCAAGTGTCATCTGCTAGAATGTAGTCCAACAAATGAAGTCACATGATCAACTAGCAGATTCCGTGTCAGCAGAAAATTTCTATGGAACACAAAGTGGACCATATTCTTATGTTGTTTCAGTGACTTTTAGAAATAAATCACGTTACATACGGTATCTAATTTTGTCAGTCACTTGAAGGAATTGTCACTAGCTATAATGAATTGATATTAAAGATAAATACTAAGAGAGGTTTATTATACCACCTGGTATTCATACACGGTGTTTTTCTAGACTTATTTATAGATCAAACATTGTACACGAAAATAGGTGACGCATTTTGCCGCCGTTGCCGCGTTGGTTGCTCATGAAATATGGCTCAAAGTGAAGGATTCATTAAGAAAATCGAAACAAACCAATTTTAATTATTTTGTAGAATATCTGAGGAAACATCTAAGACATAATTTTTTTTTCAATTTTTTTAACTTTGACAAAATTCGGTGTTGAATCCTTATATCCACGAAAATAGGTTACACCACTGTAATTAGTAAAATTGCACATGAATATATTGAAATGATCCACTTTTTTAGATTGTTAAAAGCGACAGGTTCAGAGTAGTAACTGTGTCTATATTGTAGTACATCTAGTCCTACTAAAAAAATATATATTTTTGAGATATTGAGATATTAAGTAAGAACCTATTTGAAAATAGAAAGAGAAAGACAGAAAAAAAACCTTATCACTGGCATGTTCGGTAATTAACATTATTTTCGGTAGTAAAAAGACGCATTGATATCATAAACGAATGCGGCCGGTGATAAACAAAGGAATTGTTCACAATGATAAATTGATACTTACTATATATTTATCCTGTTAATCAATTGAATGCGTTGGAAAGGCCAGAGATACACAAACAATTACATCCAGGTGTGATTGTTTCTTCAGCTGATCAAGTAACATTCTTCTACTTTCAAGCAAGGGAGATAATAGCCCAACTACTTTCTCACGAGTAATCACAGACAACAAATAGATTTCATATTAGAAAAATGAGCAGTTAATGTTTTTTAAAGAAATATTTTTGCTGGTCCACAAAACAAAAATTTTTTTTCTTATCAAGATATTCTCAAACCTTCTTAAATGTTATGCGCTATAGACAGTCGTCAATTTATAAATATAACTGTATAATGATGTTCTTACACCAAAGAAAATATCTTTACTAGGCCTATTGCCTGATTGGTCTGATAGACCTCTTTTGATATAATACATTTAAATTCCCAGGTTGGTTTCACTTTCAACTACAAATTCTTAACTATAGTCCTTTAATACTCTAGAAATGATTTAGCGTTAAGGTGCGTTCACACCAGCACGAATATCCTTACAGACAGCCATGCGATTTCTGGGATTTAAACGTTTTCCTTGCATTCCATTCACACCTGCACCGAATTTCATTGTTTGTCACATGATCTTTGTGCGTTCTTAGTTTGCGCATGCGAAGAATACATGGTTACCGACTACTGCTGACTCTTACTGCAAATTGCAATTTCCCTCCAAATTTCGCCGTTCATTTTCACATCTTTATAATTTTTATCTCTCACATCAAATAATCAATCTCTGCCGACATAAGTTTGACAGTAGCGTTTGATTGGTCACGATTTTATTCCCAACGAAAAAAAATTAGTCTGATTGCCATTTACCCGAATTCGGTCCGGTGTGGTGTGAATAGATGTATATCTTAACTATTATCTCCATCTGCTAACAAATTCACTGTCCGAACCAAATTTCATGCTACTGTGAACGCACCTTTAGGCCTATGTGCTGGTGATAAAGACTTGGCAAGACAACAAATGTCTCTGAGCCAGTTTGTTGACTGAGTGAACACAATGTTTGAAGTCCTATTATTGTTCTTCTTTTCTCTATGAAAATTTATTGTAGAGGGACTAAATTATGCTATGAATATAAGAGAATTTATGCAATGGCAGCAGGTCTGTCTATAGACCTGCACAGCCTGTATCCCTTATTAAATGGGAGAACTGAGTTTATGTCCAAGAGGAACTGTTCTGATTATGCAAGCATCACTCAATGGAATTGCAAATTTGTGGGAAAATATCTATTTCAATGGCAATGAAATGATTACATTGCATCATGAAATCATTCAACCCAGGTTTTAAGAAAATATAAAAGAATCTGATAATAAATTTTATTTTTTATATAAATTCATCTTGAATAACTGACAAAAACAAGATATATAAAATCTGAATCATATATATCACTATATGTAAATAATAATTATTTTGAGTGTACATTCAATCAAGCATTGTTCAGAGGCTCATTTAATACCAACTAACCCTTCATTTAAGCTTCTATTTTAACAAAACATGAACACGGAAACATAGCATTTCAAGCATTAGCATAAAACCTAATTGCATAGGATTTAACAAGAGAGTATGGTGTGCAATGAAATCTACTAACTTACTGTAAGAACAACTTTAAAACATTCAAGAAAAATTCTTCTTGTTAAAATGCATTCAAGAAGCATAATCAAGCATAAGGTATATGTAGAAAAGTTTCACCTTAGTAAGAAGTAAATTAAATAAGGAAGACTTTTAAAAGAAATTAACAATAGTATATTTGAACAGACAATTAAGATCTGATGTTTTGATAATAAAAAGAGAAAGAACTTTATTCTCACAAATTCATCCTTTATATTTAGAGATATTGCATCTTTATAAAGCAATAAACAAGAGAATAGGTATATAAGTATTGCAAAATTTTGCTTCAACAACAAAAGGCTTTCAACATCAAATTGTTTGCCACTAAATAAATCATATTCTAAATTATAACATAATTTAAAAATTTTACTTCAAAATTTATAATGATATTAGAAATAAAACATTTCCAACTCTCATTATCATAAGCTTTATATTATACTTTATTAATTATCATGTTTTACATTTCAAAACTTCATTATCATAAACTTTACATCACATCATAACATTTCTTCACCTAAGTACCATATATTTTACATTCTAACATTTCATTTTATAATCCTTATAACATTTCAAACATCATAATTTTAAGCTTACATTGTAACATTTCTTACCCCCAAATATAATAAGCTTTACATTATCAATGTCTATTTAAACATCTGTCATTTGAATAACATTTATTTATATACAATCTCTATTATATACATAGTAAGGAATGCTAGCAAGTTAATTAGTATAATATTTATAACATGTGTCTCTATGATATGGAATAATTAACAACAATATTTGTAGGAAAATAAAACAAAAACATTGAAATAAATGGCACATAACCTTCAATACATTGATATCAACACATACTTTTCGTAATGAGCAAAACTGAAATACTATAGTATACAATACAGAATAGAGACGTGTAGGAACACAAGCATTATGACCAGATTTTATTTACTGTCAATATGATATTAAACATATAAAGTAGAACGTATCAGATGAACATCTCATCTCTAATAATTGTTCCAGTCAAGTTATCACCACATACAGACAATATTGAATTTAAACTAAAGTCACAACCAGTTGTTTTAAACGAAATACAAGCTAACAAGATATCAAACTGTACAAATTACAACATCAAAATGGTAAATATAATGAAATTAATGGCAGTTATTAATCATGTAGGCCTCGGTCATTTTAAATCACTTTTTGATCTCCAGAAACATTCTATATACATGTATACAGTTAAAACTTAACAATTGTTGTGACGATGGATTTCTATCATGATAATACAATAATAGTTACTTTTCCTTTAGCATTTTTAAGAACATCGACTGCTTGTTCATGTGTCACTCCATCTAAATTATGTCCATTAACAGATACTATTTGATCACCTCGCTGTAATTGACCATCATCTGCTGCTGCACCTTTAGTAAAAACATTTTTGACATAGATTGGTAAATCACCATGTGGACTTCCATAACCTCCAACTATAGAGAACCCTAAACCATCAGCACCCCGAGTTAATACTATAGTTTTACATTGAGGTGGTTGACTGAAATATAAAAAGGTAATGAGGTTCATAAAAAAATTACTATATCAAATGAAATTTTCTGCACAAGAAAGCCAAAAAAGGCAGGCATTGAGAGGAATTGCTAGGTCAGTGGCATAGGCCTTATCTATTCAATTTTGGTACACAAGGCCTAGATTTACTGTCAGCACTCACTGAAATGGATACATGTGTACAGGTCAGGAAAAAAAATCTGGAGATTTGCCTTGAAAAATCTGGAGATTGGGTGAAAAGTCGGGAGATTTTTCCAAAGCGCATAAATTCGTGATTTGAAACTCCAAATTGATTCTTTTTTTCTTTTTTTTTTAAAAATAAGCTTTAAGCCTTGTAAATTAATTAAATTGATCATAGGCCTACATGACACAGAAAAAATTAACAATTTATAATTATGGATAATTCTAGAAATAGTGCCTGATATTTCAAATTTAGGGGCCCAAAAAGAATTTAATATTATCATTCTACAGTATTGATTGAATCAAAAATAATGTCAAGGTGAAATGATGATTAAAAACAAGAAAGCAAGTTTACATAAGAATTAGACATCCAGTCTCGTATGATAATCTACCGATAATGAAAAATAATTCTGAAACGACGTCTATGTTATATAGGCCTATTATAGACCTCGCAGATTGACACTGACGGTATAGAATACTGAGAAGACTTCAAGATTTCGTTTTTTAGTAAATGTAGGGCTACCATAAAATTTATTATAAAAGCGAAAGTAGAATCTACTGGATGTTGTTATAAAAAGTGTGTCGTGGGCTTAAAATACACATTATCGGGTGAAAATAGATCAAATTACCATCTTAATTGGGGGATTTATTAATCAGGCAATGATAATATTATTACATGATGAGATTAACGCGTGTTACCGGCAATTAAGATACAAGTGATGATAGATATTTTGTTGATTTATGGTAGAGAATTTGAACATTGACATTACAAACGGTAGGCCCGTGAAAATTTGATCAGGAAAAAAAAAAAAAAAAATCGGTGGAATCGGGTATCCCGGCGGTAGACAATATGCAAAAGCAGTAGAAACCCGACAACATCGGTAGAAAAAATATGAGCTCCCTATTAAACTATCTGATTGAAAGTATAAACGTACCTCTCTGTATCAATATCAGAATGACCTTTATCAGATATATCCATACTAACTGTTCTTGAGTTCTGTCCATTAACACTCACAGTGACATCTTCACCTGATAATAAATAATTATATATTCCACACTGTTGACAATCTCATATACATAAACTATAGAATATTTATGGTTTGGAAGTTGGTGTAGTTCTCATATTTCTAATTTAGTGACAACCTATTTTGATAGATTTCAAAGGATCGTTTTAAATACACTATGGTCAAGATTAACATTCAAAAATCGGTCCATTTCCAGAATGAAATAATGACAAGAATAGAAATAAATAAACTTACATTGTAAGACTTGTAGTTGAAGATTAGCTGATGTTTTAAGTATGTGAACAGCCATATCATGAGTCATACCATCTGTTGATTGTTTATTTATCATTAATATTTTATCACCAATCTACATAGACCGAACATAAATAATAAGAACATATTATACAATTTATATCATAGTAATTTAAAAAATAGTTCAACATTTCTTAAAGAAATTGAAGTCAATGGCAATATATAATGAGAACTAATGCTTGTTGGACTTGCATCACAATATACATAGAATTATTTCATATTTCATTTGACTATATGAAAATACTCAACCATATTGCTTTATTATTTCTGGTGATGTATCATCATATTGCGTAAACCTTTAAACTGACAATTATAATATATACATTTCATTATCTTTTTAGGATATTATAATCTAAATATACAATTAATTCATATCTGTGTATCTTTCTTTAAAAAGACCACAATATTACAATACTCGTTAAAGTTAGGACTCAACTGCATCAAACAATATCAATCTCCAAAAGAAACCTTACCCTTAATTCGCCTGACCTGGCTGCTAGACCATCAGGAGCTAAGTTGGCTATAACTATTGGTACATTTCCTAAAGAACTACCAATTCCTCCTGCAATACTTAATCCAAGAGTTCCAGACTCATCATGTTTTATGTCCACAGTTCTTAATCCTGTTTCTTCACTTCCAACAGATAAGGTTTCTACAATATCAAAAATTCATTAATACAAATATAAAGAAAAAAAATGAGGAAACATGAACAACAATTTGTACAAAAAGAATATGAACCTGACCCCATATAAACCTTTTCAATAATATGAATCTAAGGCACCCAGACCCACAGTCATGCACTTTACATCCATAAATTCCTTGTTAAAATAAATATGGAAGATTTTCACTCAAAATATAGCCCAGAGAAATGAACAGCTGATGAGGATAAAGAATAATTACGTTAACCAGGATCCTAAATTGTTTGTACTAATAGTTTAACAAGCATAAAATGCCATAATGGGTAGATGGTATATATCAATAAGAGTGGGTTTCAAAAACAGTATTCAGATTGTAAGAGAGTAAATAGGATAGAAATATAAATATGCATAATCATTATTCGTCTCAATGTTAACTCTAACTATGAAGGTGAAAAAGGAATTGCACTTTATAACTACTATACATATCTTTGTTCACACTAGTCACAAAATGATGTTTATTGTTTTCAATTCATTATATTGTTTAAAGCAGTTTCCATTTCCTTGCAAAAAATTCTTTATTCAAGAGAGCCAGTCGAACTGATTAGTATAGATTCTGCATGTGATTTGACAGGCATTTCAATTTGTCGTAGTATGGTATATGATATCCAACAACAAGAAAAAAAATATTCATCACTACCAAACTTGTTAAAATCTAACAAAAAAGCAGTTCCACACTTTATAAAGACATGCTGAACAAATAAACAGAGACGGGAAAGGGTTGAATTCAGCATGCCAAATAACCTGCAATAATTTCTAACCTCAAACTGTTTAATATATCCTCTCATATAGAAGCTACTAACCACCTGAATATCATTGTCAACTAAATTCACTAGAGGCTTTTCAAGCAATGGGATTTCAAATGAAAATTGTAAAATCCATTTTGATCTTCCAGACATTATTATCAAGCAAAATACATTCTCAATAAATATATTTCTACAAACTAGTATTTAAAACTAAAAGCTAAAAACATAATAGGGAAGGTTAAAACCATTGTGAATTGATTCCCGTTTTATCTTAAATAAAACAGTCTATAAGATAAGATTGTATTATTTATTCATTTACTGTTTTCTATTACCAAATTTTGTTGTTTAAAAAATTTTTTGCTTTTGTTGAAATAGGAAATCATGATATCTAATCTATCATAAGACTTTCATTGTCTTATTTTCTTAAAATATCGTTTTCAGTTTCTTCAAAAAAAATTCATTTCATGTTATCTGCTAAGCTTTGAGAAATAGACCAAGCAATTTTTTTCATCAAAAAGCACTTCAGATGACTTGATTTCAAATGAAGCTTGATTTAAAAAAAATGCAAGGAAATGGTAAAATGTTAACAAAAGACATTAATTTATTTGCAGAATCTAACTTGATAAAAATGTTTTACCAGATCTAACTATATTATCTATATAATTTTCTCAGTCAAGTTATTTTTAAGATTCTAGCCATTTTACTTCGAGTTTCAAATGACGGAATGATACTGATCATAAAAAATATAACTTTAGAATACAAACAACATTAATATTAAACAACAAAACGTGTTTCAATCACAATATTTAATAGTAACAATAACAACTTTTGGAAGAAATGGATTTTACATGGTGGGTGCCCATAAAAATAAAACAGTATTGTACAAAGTAACCAATAAGAAATAAAGAAACAAATAAAGGAGGTGATTGGGGCTAGTAGCTTTTGGAAGAGGGTAGACCTGTGGATAAAGCAAAGAAAAACAGGATAAATATAGTAGTATATTATTGAGATCACTGAAAAATAAAAAGGCTCATTTAAAAGTAGGAGTAATAATCTACAGGTTTTGTTACTGGATAATGGAGAGTATATTTGATTATATAAGGGGAACTACTCTGTTTATGATATTCTTATGTTGATTTTCATTTTTCTGCAGAAAATATTCTGACTTGAGTTTCAAAATGACTGGCTATATAATTCTAATATATTTCAAGTGAGCATGCACAAGAGGTTGGTATTAAAGTCATGAGCTAGTAATATATAAAATGGAGAATATATAAAACATAAAAAAGTGTGATAGGAATAAATACTAAGAAAATCCATTTCTTTCTGTTTAAAAAATGTAACTTAATTGTTACAAAACTCACTTTTAGAATGTTTGCCTTTTGACCGACTGCTCGCTGAAGATTCTGATTTTTTAAGCGCATGACCAGGAGAGTTCGAATTTCTCCTAGATGAAGTCCGTGAGCCAGCCTTTAATCTTCCAACTGTTAGAGACACTTTACCCATTAATGTCTGCAAATATATATATATATTAAACACATGAAACTTCACTCTTTACACTTAATTTTTTGAGAAACTTATTTCTGCAGAATAATATATGTAACTACGAAATACACTTTAAAATGTAGTCATAGGAAAAATTATGGCAAAGCATTGACAAACAGAAAATTACCTTCAAAACAGCTGCTGCATATTCTTGAGTAGAATTTCTCATATCTTCTCCATTTACTGATAAAATTTGATCACCTTGCATCAATCTACCATCAGATTCAGCTACCCCTCCTTTCACCTGTAATATAATACAACACATTGTTAAATAAAAACTAAGCAAAATTATATCATAAATTCAAATAAAAAGGGAAAAACAATAAGGTTTACAACATTCAAGACATCATATATATCTGTCATAAATACAGAAAAGTTGATATGAACTTCAAATTACAGTTTTATAACATGAAAGCATGCCTTTTTATGAGCATTATTTTTCCAGAAAATCCTACATAGCTCAAAATAAATAAAGACAGCTTTAACTTATACAGCCAACACGCATTTATACTTTGATTCGAAAAGCTGGATACTTTTTTGATATTACCCCTCCAACTTGGTTCACTGACATGGTGAAACAGAATGGCCTAGGCATGATTCCAGAATCCAGTTTCAGTGGACGCTCAACTGATACTTACAATATCTGATATATAAACACCCACATCATTCTTCTTTCCAACAATACTTAATCCTAACCCTTTCCCTGGTCGTTTCATTAGCTCAACACTAAATACATCATATATATCTTCTTCTCTAACTTGGTTATCATCTCTATATACAATCATTCCAACACGGGGTGGTGTCTGACGTAATACTTGGATTGCATGATCATGTGTTGCATCACGTAAGTCTACTTTATTGACCTGTTGATGAACAAATTAGAATATTGAGTAATAATAAAAATTCAAAAACATCTAATGACCATTCTCTCATATATATTATATTATGTATATTATAGCTGATTTCAAAATTACACTAGAAGAGTAAAAAATTTCAAAGTTTTGACAAAAAATAGGACTGAAGATCAAAACAGATTTCAGATTTTTTCAGATTTATATATATCAAATTTACAATACCTCTAGAACCTGGTCACCAGCCCACAATCTAGCATCTCTAGCTGCTGCTCCATCATCATATACTTCATGTATTATTATAGCTCCCTACACATTGAACAAACATCTAAATGATTTATCAAACATACATTTATGACTTCAATTCATACACTGTCATGCAGGTTGTTTTAATTCAGAATGAGAGTTGACCGCTATGCTCATAATATAATTTGGTTTATTGATTTGAAGTTTTGAAGGCTTAACCCTTCACAAGTTTAGAACATCGTTTTAATTTCCCATTAATTCTTGAAAGTGATAGAAGTTTGATTTCAAGATTTCATTACCATATTACTCTAATCTCAATAAAATCATACTGATATTGATATACATCTAAATAACCTGAACCATTATAACATATTAAAATATCAATAAAAAAAAGATATGAGACGTTAAGTATTCAATCTGCTACTTACCAGTAAAGTATCTGATCCACCAACAATACTCAGTCCTAATCCAGTTCTACCTTTCTCTATTTCTATATAGGTTTCCCTACCTGGAGTTATTTCACAAGTTAAAGGATCTACAACAGCTTCTTCAGGTTGATCAGGGTCAGTTGATGATTCACCTGTATAAAAATATCAAAATCAGCTTCAATGGTGTCTCTTTTACACATTTTACAATATAAATCATAGTTAAGACAAAAGATATCTGTTCGTCTGTTTAATTTATGATACATTTTACTAAAACTGATGATATATGAATAATTCTCCTGTTTTTTTGTTTTCCAAATTTTATATGTGAAGCACTGGAGTCTTAGTTTTTTCCCATTCAAACAACTGATGCTTTTTCCATTTCAGCCCCTTGGACCTGTATCATTGATAGAGAGAATATATGTGGAAAAAGCTTAAGGTACAAATCAATATTTGGAAAGAGTTAAATCATCAATATCACCTTAGCTGTAAAATAATTCTACTAGTCCTGTAGATGGACCTACCTAGCATATTTGATAATTGCATCACAGAATTAGGCTCTTCTTTCTTCTTGATTTTTCTAACTTTTAATCTAACACTACCCTGAGTTGTGCGTAAAATTTCTATTGCCTTTTCATAAGTGACGCCTGAGAGTGATTTATCACGAACTTCAATAATATGATCACCCACTGTCAACTGACCATCCTGTAAAATAACAAACACAGATTGGATTCCATCTGAATTTTGAACAAAAAAAAGCCATTTGCAAGGATACAAGGAAAAATTTATTTGCCAGTTATATCGTCATCCTTGCAAAAATTGAGCTAAAGTAAATGACTATAACTTAATAGAAAATCTTTATACCTGGTCAGCTATTCCACCTGGAGTTATAGATTTAACATATATAAACCCAGTATCACCTTCACGTGTATGTTCAGCAATACCAAATCCTAAACCTTGTGGACCCTGCAAAGTAAAATGATTCTTGCTAATATATTATCAATATAAATAACACCTCAAAAGATCAACACATATAAAATTAATAGAGACAACTGTATCTGAATCTTTCCAGAAAATAGACCAAATCATCATTGAAATGAATCACCATTCATAATTTATAATATACATATGATATCACAACACTATCATTGAAATGTTATTTCATGTGAGATTAATCTTAAATAGCACATAAAACATAATCCTGAGTTATGTGTAAATTGGAAAATTCATAAAAATGTCATAGTTTATATTTATAAACTTAGTACATAATTATATATTATATAAAACTAATATAACTTTTGATTTATTATCATATCAATCAATTTTTATTTTCAAGTTCAATAGTGCAACTAACTTATTCAAAAATGTTAGATTCAAATGAATAAAAATCAGTTCAGAAAAGCGATGAATTCAATTACTATTTTTTAGACACATAAAGATTCTGATTTTCTCTTGAAATTTGTTGAAAATCAATTTCAGAAAGTCAGTGAGTGAAAAATGTGAAGAGTTGATTAGAGGATGGTTTGACAAGAGTTGATATTGATTGTTGATCTATAACATCATTCTGATATAGACCAAACTTTCTTGTCATATAAATCAATTTTCTAGACCTCATTATATTATTCTAGTAACATCTATTTCTACTGTCCTACTTTAGTGCTGCCAAGTTTCTACCTATTAATATACTATTTGATTTGTAAACAGATAAGCAGAGATGAATACAGTATGTATAATAGCTTCACATAGTGTTAGAAAATGTACCACAGAATTCAACATCTTTTCTATACAGTCTATTGAAATATTATCTAAGACCAAAATAGAAATTGATTGAGGGCACATTTGGAACTGAAAGGAATTCGTGCCATAAGTGATGTTACTATTGCAATAGTAATGTCTGATTTTTTTCACTTTGTTACAAATAAGATTTAACAAGAACAACATACAATGAATAATTTTCAAAAGAGGAAAATTGTATTTTGTGTCACTTGTAGATCATATTAAGATGCCTGTGTCAGTACCTCCAAGAGTCGGCCTGGTGTTGGTTTTGACATCTCAATACCTAATTGAAATATAATTTAGAACACACTTACCTTTTGTAATGTAATGGTCACAGGCTCTTCTAATTCTATCACTGGTTCTTTAACTATTATTGGTACAGGTGGAGGTGCTTCTTGTGATTTCTAGAAAAAAAAAATATAATTCTCTATAGTAGTCAGTAAATCCAGACAAACACATTGTATTCTTCGTCTAAAAGTATACTTTACAATAATCTGTATATACTATCACCAGAAAGTAAGCCAATCTGGGGAATGGTAAAGTACATAATATATCTATTGTCAACAATATTTGTGTTATTCTTACATATACAATTGTATCAGGTACAATGATAGAAGGATAAGTGTTTATCAAGTAATTTCAGAAACAAGTAAATCACATGTGAAGATAAACATGTCTAAGATAAACAGATTGCTGCATTGTAGCTAATTGAATAACTGTTGTGAAGTTATATATAGACACACTATATTAAATAATATAAGACACACTCTCTTCTTCACCATTGTTCATAATATCCAAAACTCTGCTGATTCAAATATAAAACCCACATTGTAGAGTTTCAATTTCCATCTGTTTTTATCAACAACTATAGAAGACAATCAATCATACCCTATTACCCATTAACACTTTAATCCTGTTATCCCATTATAATAATGGTATTCTAATTCCTGCATCATGAGAGGGCAATAATATTAAACCACAAGATACTGTGACCAAACTAAGAGGTAAAAATGGCCACCCATATATTATTTATTGATCAATAGGTACTATTTTCTATGGCGTAAGAGTCTGTCTTTTGAACTAACTAATATGATCTAAGAGTATGATTATAAAACGATGGAGAACTCAGCAGACATTGATATGAGAATTTCCAACATACACCAACACAAGCTGAGACTATAAAATCAATAAACAGACCACTCCAGCCTGGAATTCCATAACATGTTCCAATCTTTTTCAATTTATCTGCTCACAAAGAGTTGGCTTAAACAGTGACTACTGAAACAGAACAAACAACTAAACCAACTTGTAAGAGAGTTGAATAGCAGAAGTGAGAAAGTAGATGAAAAGGAAGATCTAGTGGAATGTGGACAGCAGGGACAGACAGATTCAAGCTAAATTGAATTTCACTGTCTAGCAATTAATGAGAAAATTCTATATCATGGTAGAAAAAGATAAGAGTCAATTCTATACTATTTTCAATTCTAAAGTAGTCAATGTCAAAGTCTGCCAATACTTAAACCAACCATTCTCTCAATTATAACTTAGTTTGCAACATTTCTATAATTTCTGCTCTTACACTTTCAGATTTGACACATTTTACATATTATCTGAATGGTTCCCAGTCTGGGATGGCTGTTTTTGATTACAATTTCAGGAATGACCAACTGGGAATAACAATAGACTGGAAGTAGAATGAACTGACAATAAAATCTGTCATATTTGCCATTTCAATTTGAAACAGTAATCACATTGATCCTGCATTACATAGGTTAATATGTGAAGGGATGTGGTATACCTCTTGCTCCGATTGTTCAGAGCTTTTTTTTTGATGATTGATACAGATAAAAACAATACAATAACTGTATTCAAATCTTATAAGCAAACTACAAAGCCTATAGCACATCATCTTAACTATGTCAAGCTAATACTAATCTTGACTATAAAATAGCCACCTTTCTTGTATCATGGAAGGTTGTCAATGTAGCCATTTGATTGGAATGTTTGCTTTCAAATACAGCCAATGAGAACCCTTGAAAGACTGTTTGTAAACCATAAGCCATATTGTTTACAGTCTTTATGTTGAGGGCTCTGATTGGCTGTACTCACTTGCCTTCAATGTAACCAAATCTCTGCATTCCTGAATACAAAGATAGCCTTGCGAAGTGAGGTGACATACGCCCACCAGCAGCTTTGATTGCAAGTACAAATCATTGTTCATAGCCTGTACAGTGAGCATAAACCAATTGTGAAGAGACAGTCGGATGACAATAAGCTTCCATACTACTTGTGGACATATACAAATCAAGAGAATCCATAAAGAATTGTTGCTTGAAGAGTGAGCACAAGATGCACAATAAAGCCAAGAAGAGTGAATACACTAAGTCAAACATGATATTTCAGTGAATAATTACCAGATCATCATGAACATCGATAAGGATCATCTCCATAATGACATTGACCTATAAAATGAAAATTAAAAGAATCCATAAAGAATTGTAGCCTGTAGAGTGCTCACGAGATCCACAATATAGCCAAGAAGTCAAGTAGAGCACGAGTTGCACTGTAGCTAATAGAGCGAAAACTTCAAGTCCCACACTAAATTTTGGTGAAAAATTATCAGATCTTCATGAAAATCGATAGGGATCATCTTCATAATGACATTGACCTACAAAATAAAAATCAAAAGAATTTGTAAAGAATTTTTGCCTGTAGTGTGAGCATGACCCAAATGTGAACGCACCGATGGGTGATTACAATGTACGCCCAAAATATATTTGTGGGCATATAAAAAGGTGGTTATTGCAGTCAAGGTATAAGACAAAATAGTTTGACAATGTGAAGATAAAAGCCAAGATGTATGAGAAAAAGACAAGCACATTTTCATGTTAGCTATTAGCCTAATATATCACTTACGTTACACTGTACATGTATATTTGTTATTGAGAGTAGTTTCAAGAATTATGTTGGTTATATCAAAGAAGTAAGAATATAGAGGTAGATGGAGATCGTGCCATAATGAAGAGTCTAGTAGGAATAATGAATACAAGATTTATCACCGATAGGCAGTCAGATTGGTTGACCTAAAAGGTCACATAAATATAGACCCAATAATTCTAATTTTCAAATAACCAATCATAACCATAGCAACAGATTGCAGGAATAAGTAATCTGAACAAGACAAACTGATTTTTTTATGTCGAGTACGGATTTTGTTTCAAAATATGTATCACAAACGAGTGCAAAATTAAAGACATTCAGCACAATCCCAGAAGAAACGACTTCAGTATACCACAAAAGAACTTTAATAACCAGTAGCAAAATGTCACAGCTACAACAATGCAACAATGTTTTGCGTTATTACTTTGGAATCTTCAGAATATTTGTGTAATATACTGTATTCATTCTAATTGAAGCCCTTGAAACCTTAATATATGAATTTTCAATTGATCAATAGTCAAGCCAAAACAGTTCATCAAATTATCAAATTCAAACATCGACATACACTCTTGAACTGTTCATCCTATTGTTACCAATTTCAAACTCATTGATATATACATGCATACCAAGTTTCATCAAGATCAGATATAAACTGTAGCCTTTATCATGCCTACAAGCCAAATTCAAATTTGAATTTTTTTATTTAGTCGAGGGCAAGAACTCTCCTCTGATTGTTACCAATTTGGACCTTAACTGATCTTATCAATATATACACGCGTTTCATCAAGATCAGATGAAAACTGTATTCTCTGTTATTACTAAGTCAAGGCCAATATTTCCAAAACTGTTCATCTGATTAATACCAAATATGAACTTGACTGAGATCTCACACCAAATTTCATAAAGATTGGATAATTACTGTAGCCTTCTATCGTGGCTACAAGAAATGTGGACCAATGACGGACATTTTCATACAGGCGTAAAAAAAAAGATGAATGGATCAATCTCAAGACATTTATAATGCAAAGAATCTTATGTTTTGTTTTTTCATTTTTGTTTATTCCTTTGGACCATGGAATTTTCTAAAAAGATAAACATTATTCCAATCCTTTTAGAATAAGCTTTCACATAATAAATGTCAACCAGGGCAGATTCTACTCAATTGAAATTTCAGCGAAAACCAACCAGATACATAAATTCTTGCGTTTATAGCCTTTTTTGTTTACAAATAAAGTAATAACAATTATTTACTTTCTGGGCTCGAAAGTAATTAATTAATCAACCGTTGTTTTGAGCAACAGATCAATCAACATACAGCCATAAATACAGTGTCACATGATTTCAGGGAATTCCTTTTCTTGACAAATCAACAATAAGAATTATTTGTTTAGTTTTTGATTCAGTATCCAGTTCTGTGGCATTTTGTTTCGTCTATTACACTAACCCAATTCAGCGAAAAACTGTCCCAAAAGAAATTGCCATGCTTTTGTTCGAGTCCAAATCTCTTTATTTCTCGTGCAATGATGTAAATGATTTTTCTTGAACGCTACAAAATACACCGAATCCTTCAACCAATTCTTAATAAGGGGTGTGATGGCCATTCTCTTTATCAGCTGAGGTGAGGGTGTTTGTTTTGCAGGTGGAGACAATGTACATGTATAAGTCTGTAGAGATCTAGCCATAGGAACACTATCAGAATATCTTTTGATTGAGTCTGAGTTAACTTTAGACAGGTAGAATTTATAACCTGACACATTTGATGAATTTTCGTATCTTTTCAAGCTCAGACCAATGCTGAATAACCCAATATTTATTATGACTTCTGCTACTTTTGAGTTTTTAAGTATAAAACACTTACCTCTTTCTGTACAGGTGGTCCCATTCTTAATGGTTTAATAGCCATATGTTCCAAAAAATCAGGTCGACTGAAAAAATTATTCAAATATTAATTAACTATAACATGCTTGTAATCAAAAGGTCTGAAAATCATACAGGGTGGACTCTAACAGTAACAACATGTTTCATGTTTTGTTTTAATATCACTCTACAATTTATGTAGAGAGGTTATCAATTTAACAGTGAAAACATTTTGTTGTAGTAAGGACATTTAGCAATAATATTTGAAGTTGAAAGGTTAATCAAGGAAATAACAAATTGGTTTGTGACGGCTTCTGATTACAAATGGGAAATAACTCTTACCGAAGTAAAATCATTTTCACTTTACTCTCTGTTACTCCCTTGATAATAGATGATGCATTCAAATGACTTCTACCATACAATACATGACCATTTACCTATTATAATTAAAACACATTAACAAAATCTTTCAAGAAATCTTGAAATATAATCAATAAATATATTGAAAGGCAGTGTCATGTCAGTCTTTCAAGGATATATTCGTCAGGTAGTACTTTAATGTATTTGCTGCCTATCTTGCAAATATCTTGCAATGATTTTTCTACACATTCTAGGGTGTTAAGTAAAATGTTCCATCATTATTTTGTCATCAAAAAGACTACACTTCATATCTTTCTTGATATGAAAAAGAAGTTTAGTTATCTGATTTAATAATAAAGAATTAATATTTCATAAGAAAGCACAGAGTAAACTGACCTCAAGTAATTCATCACCAACTTGTATTCTACCATCTTTACCACAGGCACTGTCAGGTTTAATACCAGCAATAAATACACTCATGGTATTTCTATCTTTATTACCAGCTAAACTTAATCCTAAACCATTATTACCACGTGATAGTTCTAATGTATGTATTGAACCATTTAATTCGCCATATTTACGCTGTATTTTTTCTGTAATTAGAAAGGTTAATATATCTTATGATTGCTAATTAATTTTCATATCATTTATATAATGATACAGTTGTAAAAACTGCGTGCAAAAAATATAAAACAAAAGTAGCAATAATATAGTTTCTCTGCCAATTACCTACAATGATTGTCCAACACCATGGGCCTTTTCTCTTGCCTTGTATTATTCACATTAACACCAGACATCACTTCAATATAAAAGAATGTTTTTTGTCACTTTTAATGCATGAGATGAATTTCTGAATTATTTCCAGTTACTCATATGTATTAGTATTCATTTTTATCCCCTGTGCTCAAGTTTACAACAGATACATGACTTTAAACCATTTGCAGAGCACAACAATCTCTGTATATATATATATATATATATATATATATTCATCAATAGAAATGTATGCAATAAAGAGTGATAATTGAATAGTGAAGGCAATGTGTAATACTGCACTGTGTACTGATGTTCAAGTCTAATGTAAAAACTAAATTAATCAAAGATTGTGTGAATCAATCATGTTTGAACATACAAGAGATATATTCCTGCAGGCCTTCTTAACATTTCTGCTTGACTACTAACTAAATTATTTTCTTTTTCTATATATCATTGATATACAGGTCAATATAACTTGTTTTATTATCTATCATGAACCCTGCTATGGTTATGTTAACATCACATTACACCAGAGGAATATAAGTCTTAGCATCACATCAACAATAATAAACTCTTGTTATCTTTTCATCAGTCAAGGAAATAGAAAATCTCAGTCAAGATGGAGTTTGTCTTTGATTACAAACATTTCACCTTAATGTTGAGAAGTAAAGTAATCAATGATGATAATATGGTTATTTATTCAATAAGATTACTTCTTCAGAACATCAGATTTAGTATGTCCATTTTCACAGTAACATCATCATCTATAATCATTTAATTTCTTCCATTATGAACATCAATAACTTTTATTTGGTTTACAAATTCCCATTTCTGAAACTAAGGTATAATTGATCAAAGAAAATGGCACACCTGTCCCTTTAATCAGAATTCAGATTATAGATCAACTGAATCTAACTTATAAATTTTTATTTAACTAATAATGTAATACAATTACTCAGCTTTTCATTCTATTGTAAATACTGAATAGACATTGAATAAAAGCTTTTTGTTTGTAAAACAGGAACAAGATTTCACAATACTACTTTCATTACAAGCAATAAATATATTTCACATGAAACTTCCAGATTAGACTAAATTATTCTCTCATATCACCATTTGAACTATATTATACAAAGAGTGTATTCTCTCTAGACTAAATAAATTGATTCATAATTATCTATTTGTAAGAATTTACAAAACAATAGAATGGTACATTAAGTAAAAATCAAATAATTGCACTAACTATAAGGAATTTCAGAACCCTATTTAAATATTACTTAATAGACAAATGAAAACAGAATTGCACCAAACTGCATCAGTTATGATTTTTATCTTTTAGTTAGCTTCAGATAAGGTTCTCTTTAATTTACTATTTGTAATTACTGATTAATAAATTAATTTGATGCTATCTGTAATACTTTGCAGACATTCAGTAAACAATTCAAATGATACCTCTATCGCCAACAAGTATTGCTGCGTTTTTACTAAGTCAAGGGCAATAACTCAAATTCCGTTGATCGGAAAATTGTCAAATTCAATCTAGACTAAGATCTTATTATTATAAATGATCATACCAAATTTCATTTAAATAGGATGAAAACTGTACTCTCTATTGTGTTCAAACAAATTTTGACGCGTTTTTCATAATTCAAGGGCAATAACTCAAAAACGCTCCTCGAAAGATCGTCAAATTCAATCTTGTCTAAGATCTCATCATTACAATGTGGGCATATAACAAGACGAAAGCAGCGTGCCATTACATATTTTGATGAATATATATGGTACAGAATTGAGTAAGATTTTTCAGTAAAGAATTGAATCCAAAAGAATTTCAAACCTTACTTTGGAATATTTACTTGGAAAGAATTTGTTCTTATCTTTAAACCGATGTCAAAACCCAATATGATGGTTTTGCCTGTGGAGGCCTTAAGTAGAATTGGTTGGTACTAGTCATCCAAATTACATGCATAAATGTTTAAATGAAATTTATACATGATCTGGAAAACAGTTGTCAGAAAAAGCAATTGATAGCACAGGATGCAAAAAAGAAAGACGTGGATGTAAGCTTACCTTATTTCCATTGTGCTGATTCAAATTCAATAATCTTTCCTATTGTTACTCATTTGACTTTGATATCATAAATTAGTGTAAAATAAAGACCTAGACAGATCAACTAAATTACCAATAGGGAAATCAGAGGATTGACAACAGAATCCAATAGACTGATAACATGAATAGATTTAAAATCTATCAAATTGCTTTTTATACATATCTTATTCAGTCTGACCTTCCATATTGACTATAATTTTTTATATCTATTCTTCCAGACGCCCAACTCTTATATTTTATTTTCATTGAAACTTTGAGTAATCCCAGTGTCAGGAATAAAAATAAAACATCAAGAGAGACATTGAATAAAATGTCATGTCTAATACTGTTTTCTTAAGTTTAGTTGGACTTGGTCCAAACTTCCAAACAGCTTTTATTCAATTCTCATTTAGATAAAATGGTTCATGTGACAATTCACATACATGCTATCTGATAACAAATCAAGTACCATTACCATTGAGAAGCCATTCTTTTGATATTTATTTCAAGAATGTGCCCAATAACTTAAAAATTTAAGAATAATTTAATGGTAGAAATTACATATGAGCGATTCTTTAATTTGGTGAAGGGCAAAAACTCATTTTTCTGGTAACTTGGAGACAAATCATTATATTTTCACAAGTTTCATAACAGAGAAAATTACAAGTCTAGTTTACAGCCAATTTAATACAGGAAATAAGAAAAAAATGTTAAACTTAATCAAATTATTCATTCTCAACAGTAATTGTATCTCATATCCACAAAACCCCAGCTAAAATTTGGTTCAATTCACACATTCATGAAATCCAATATTGGAATAATAAATAAACAGGATGATTTATAACCTGAAATTCTCCTCAGCCTCTGTTTTTGTGACAATAGATATTTAAATTTCTACTAACACAGGTAGCAAAATATATCATCTGTATTCATCTACTGACGTTATTTTTGGTTATCAATATCAAGAATTTGGCGTGTGCAAATGGCACGCTTCTTTCTCACCACACTACTCCCTGTACACGACACGCCTTTCGCTCTTAGGTCAGTCACATGATCAATCTAAATGGCTGACTACTACAGTGATAGTTCAAGCGATGACGAAGAGGAGGGAATGCCGGGGTTATTGTTGTTATTGATACGTCGTAGACGTTGCAGACCTTGTGCAGCTGTTGCAACACATGGTGTAGGCCTGGATACAAAGGAGACAACAGCAAGGAATATACCTCGTCAATGAGCTTAATGCAGAAGACCAAAACAATTTTGTAGGTCTTACAAATTGATTAATCTAGATCTTACCAGTTTGCTCTAAGGCTGTTGCTATTTTTTGGATAGCGCTGTGTCAAGGGGGTAATCAACAAATTTATCCTCAAGGATTGCTTGTGTCACTGGGCGCCGCCATCCTTAAATATCAATAACGCATGCGTGTTGTGTCCGTCGTCGTGTGTGCGTGCACCTTAAGTAACACACAACTGAGACACTTAAAAGGACAAAATCAATCTGCACAATATTAGCTCAACTATGAACTCTTTGATTTGAGCTGTAAGTTAGGTAATGACTCTAGAAGAAGTAAGTCCATGTCTTATTTATCAGAATATACGATATCAGCCACACAGGAATGTAGTAGAGTTGGGCAATGTGATGATATTATAAAAAAAACTGTATGAGAAAAAAAACGGGAGATATGATATGGCATTTTTCATATCATCTTTCGGTATACCATTGCATATCATCATGACAATATTTTTGACATATTAGACATAAAAAAGATAATACAATAAGATTTTGGTAATTTAATCCTTTTTTTTATATTTGTTCTTTCAAGGCTTTTAACTTTCTATGACCAATGTAGTTACATTTGAATCGCAGCTTATTTGTTCATGTAATCCTATACCTATTGGTTCACCTCACTAAGGCACTTATGTGACATTTTATGGAGGTGGGTCAGAATTAAAAAATCCATCCTCTTTAGCCCATGAATCCCCTTTGTAGGTACTATTATTTCCTCTATTATTTCTTTACATGTTACACCGATATCTCACAATGCGTCTTAGATCTTGGGCCTTATGTGCCAGTTTTCAAATAATTCAAAGCAGATACTTTATAACGTTATAAAGAGTTTATTTCCAGAAATTTTCTATATCACAATATTTGAACCTATCAAGTTATAAAATAGTCAGTCATGATATACAAAATATCTCATATCCATGTAGTCATATCAGATTTCACAACAAAACAAACTAGAGCCACTCGTGGCACAGAGTGGGACTTTGCAAATGTAGCAATTTGCTAAAGACCCTGAAAGAATCAACCATCAACGATAATTAGGTCAAGCGCAAGAACAAGTCTAAAGTTGAGAAATTTTTATTTTTTAGAAGATTCTAATACCGGAAGTAGACATCAGACCTCACAAATGAAAGTATCAGCAGATAGCCAAGGTCAATGACCTTTGATCTTGTAAAGGAGAAGGTCTAAAAAGGTCAAGATCAAAATATATCCGTCATCAAAATTTCTAATTGCACACGACTATAAAACTGGAAGTTGACATAAGACAGCAAATAGAAAAGTATAAATAGATAGCCAATGCCAATGACGTTTGATCTTACAAAGGTCAAGGTCAACAAAGGTCAAGGTCAAAA